TTCGAGCTTCATTAATAGGTGGCTCTTACTGCTCAGTCACTAATCATACTAGAAGTTTCCAGCGATTGGGACTAAGAAATTACGGTGTCAGCACAAAGCACCAGTCCTTCACTGCTCAACACATATCTCCACACAGAGCAAGAACATGCGTGCCCAGTCCATGAAAAGTTCCCTGTTCCAACAGATGGAGAGAGAGATCCCCAATCCATCTCCATTACACATTTAAAATTCTTTAGACAATCTATAAATACTGGGGTAGTAAGTATCATTCTCTTCTGGAGAAACTGAGGCAGACTACTGAAGAGTGTAAGTAAAAGAGATTAAATAAGATTTATTTTCTTTACCACAAGAGAGAAAGATCTAAAAAGTGTTTGTCTTCAGACAGCCCCTGGGCAAAGACCAATGAGTTTCAGTGTCACAAAGTTAATTGAAGAGAGAAAGAGCAAGTGTTTGGAACAAAAATAAGTATAATTAATCTTTAAACACAGCAAAAAGTTGTTCCATTCTAAGAGAGACACCTTAGGAATTTAACTACATCCAAGAAGAGTAAATTGAATTAAGAGAAATAGTAATTAAATCTGGAAAGAAGAGTTTTAGAAAAAGCAATGTTAAGTGAAATTAAAATCAGTAATACTTTAAAATAGGTAGGAGTAGAAATGAACTTTAAAGGAGAAATAAAAGGAAATAAAGCCCTGCTGGAAAATTCAAAGAAGTGATTAAGAATGAAAAAAATAGAAGAATGCAACGGTGGAGGTGAGAGGGACACGTCTATGGAAGCCATTTTCTTAAAAGAACAGATATATCAGTTCTGATGGCTCCATGCCCAGAAGTCCCAGAGCATGGGTGCAGCAGAGAGGAGACATAAGAGAAGTTGGGACATGCCGGGTGCCTTTAACCTATTTCAGTCAATACATAGTCTTCCTCCCTTGTCCCATCGTGAGATGGAGGTGAACCTCAATAGTTAACACAGTCAACTACACTCTCCAGGAGATCCTACCAAGTTCCACAAGCTTTCGGTATGTAAGAGGCAACAGAATTTGTCACCAGGTGATACATTTTTAGTGCCCCAGAAATTTAAGATAATCTAATAAGGTGTGGAAAGACCACCATCAGCACTGGTGGAATTGCAGATCTCCTGAAGCATTGAAGAACACTTCTCTGTTTCCTAATTTCCTAGCTAAGCGTCTATGTGTCTAGTGTGATGTTAAGGGAACTTGTTAAAACAGTATAGTTTAATAGAAAGTTCACTGGACTGAGTTAGGCAATCTGGGTTCTAGTCATATCTTTGTAAATGATTCTCTAGGCCTCAGTAACTTTAGCTATGAAAAGATAAGGTTGACTAGATTCCTTGCAGGTATAAATTTCTATGGTGCTTACCTGAAAATTTCTGATTCTTCACATCGTGGCCAATTCATACAAGACAAGTGAGACAGTATAAGAAAAGAGTGGATAGGTAAGCATCCTGGGATCCCAAGAGGAGTTTCTTGCATCATTTAGTACTTGAGAACTCTTTAAGAATTCTACCTTCATAGGTACTGGTGGTCATGCTTTCTTTCACCTGTACTACGAAAATCTGAGGTACCTGCTGAGCTAGCACCAGTCACTGAGAGAACTGAATTTCCTTGTGTGTATGTAGCACGAAGTAATTTGCAAATGGATCCTGAGCCAGCAAGGGATAAATGGCCATTAATAAAAGTTGACTTCAGACTACCCCACAGTTTCAGGTGACCTATAGCCAGCAACAGGGAAATACATTATGTTCATAATGACAAAATTTATATTAATATCCTCTAAAAGATGGAGAAATGTGGGTTGGATGAAAAGTATGCTTAAGTATTATATATGTGAACATCTTATGGAAGGATATGGACTAGAATTATAGAGAATGAAAAGACATACATAGACTTCAATATATATCAATGGAATACCCAGATTCCTAGTAGTAATGAAGCATTTTCCCCCAAGACAAAGTTCACACTGTGCTTTAGCCCATACTTACAAACTCACATTAGCTTTTGTTTACATAATTAGCCCTTTCTCCCATCTTTTGTATATCTCTTCTAAAAATCTGAGCTCATCTAATTTTTAGTTGTTTACTCATATTCTCTTTTACTAAGATCATTCACAAAATTTGTCAAAATTTCAGAGTTCATGGACTCTCTAATTCTTCATAAGTCATACTGTCTATTTTTTCTAAACTTTACAGAGATTCCCAAAAGCTAGTGTATCCATCATCCCTACTATGAAGTCCAATATAATCTCATCACTTTTAGGTTCCTACCACTTCCATTATCAATTGCTATTTCTTTCTTGCTTGACAAAATAAATGTTTTCTTCTTTGCTTCCTCTGCCTTCTGAGGGTGAAGCGTTAACAGATTAAGCGAACAGAATTGGCCTACAGATGTTAATATAGTAGTACTCCAGAATTTTTATTCTGGTGGAAGTACCTAAATTGTCTGTTTCACAATCTACGTTAGGCAAATGTTATTCATATCTTCCATCTGGGTGAGAAATCTCAAAACAATTATTACCTTGGACTCTCTTTTCTTTTACCCAGACACTTTCTGTGTTTGCACTGTAAGGTACATGCTTTCCTGCTGCAGAAAATGCATTACTGGCACATGATCCTCTCTTTTTGGATGTTTCATTCATTCAAAGCATATTTTTCTACTGCCATTATAAATCCCATCTCACCAAGGCTCACTGATATTTTTACAATAGCATAATCTATGCATAGCTTGCTTGTTTTAAAAATCCAGATTATAGCCAGGAACTAAGTGGTAAAGAAGATAGCCTTTGAGTTAACATAAAAACATTAAAAAGTACTTGTACTACAACTCCGGCAGTCAGATACATAATAGTGACTTAAGAGGTCAGGTTTGGGAGTCATGAGTAAGGAGGTGATAGATGAGAGAATGACCAGCCCTTTGAAGGAAACATCATGAAGAGAAAAGAATGGAATAGACTGAGTGTTGAAGAACATCTAGTAGGTAACAGCAGCTAGCAAAGGACAGAAAAATTTGTCAGAGAAATAGGAAGACCAGAACAATATTGTGTCACAAAAGGCAAGGGAAAAGGAATTTTCAGGATAGAAATGGTTAAAAACTAGTAGGTGAGACTTAAGTGCATTGAAGACTTTCTAACACAGCTTTTGAATAACTTTCTTCAACAGCTTTTTGCAACAAAATCTAAACCTAAATGTACTTTTTTTCTCTCCAATACAGAGGAATTCAAGAGCAATGCACTTGGATTTTAAAAACTAACTTTAAACCTTTTAAGCTTTGTACACCTTTTATACTTTTCTAAAGGCATTATTTCTGACATTGGGTAACGTGAGGAGTTTTGAAAGACAATCGAATAAATAACTCAAATTAGCTGGGAAAAAAGATGTTCTGAAAAATATAAAGATAGTAACTGTAGGAGTGACACCTACTCAGGTACTTGCCACATATAGCCTAGGATAGTTTTTCTCTTAAAAAAATCTGTCATTCAACAAGTTTTTATAAAGCACTTACTATCTGGAAAGCACTATGCTAAATGCTGGCAATACAAAGACAAAAGTGAAACAACCCTGCCCTGGAGAGGCTTATACCCTAACAGCAGAGACATGCTATCTACAGACACATACAAAATGAAGATGACACTAGCAGCCAGTTGATCAGGAAGGGCTTCATGTATAAAGTAGCACTTCAGATGGGTTTTGAAAGAAAAACGGGGATTCCAAGAGGAAAGGTGAGGAAAAAGTAGATTCCAAGCATGGGGGACTGCCAATGATAAGACATGGATAAAGGAGACCAAGTGTCATGTGCTGGGAATAGTAAGAAGGCCATGACACCTGAATGGCCAAGTGTGGAGAGAAGAATAACATGGAAAGGCTGCAAAGGTAGGCAGGGACAAGATTCTGAAAGGATTTAAATGCCATGAGAGTTTATGATTCTTTCAATAGTCAACAAAATTACATTTGAGACTTAATTGGTCCAGGGAACTAAAGCTTGAAGCACTGATGTATCTTCCTGGTTGCATAAGTACTAATGTCCAGCATTGGAAGAATCGGGGACTCCTCAGAATCAATACCTACGTCTCTGCTACCTCCACAAATGCATATCAATTACATCATTGCTATATCCTTTCTGAATATTCTTTTCATGCTATTGTTAAGTATTAGATGGTCTGTCTACAAACATCTCATCATTTCAATCCCAAACTTTAACCACTGGACTGGCCCAGAACACTATACCTTTATCAATAAAAGATTGTGTTGGAGTCTGATACTCTTAATAAGGTTACAGTATACATGATAAACGACATTAAATTTTCAGTGATTTGCTTAAGCATGAATAGTGATGCAAGTATTTCCTATAGTTTTAGGGGTATAAGTTTTTTTAAGAGACTAATATGTACTTAATTTTTTAAACTATGATTTGCATCATGTAAATACAAATTAGGTCAGACACCAACAACATTTTAATATCATTAAGCCTGTGATAAAGCAAAGAAAAATAGGGAAAAAACTATGCTGGGTTCAGAGCAGATCCTACATCTTCTCGCCATTTAATGAACAGCTCAAAATGCCTCCATTATCCAAGCAGAAATATGGAGGAGAAAAGTTAGGAGCCCAGGCTATGGAACAGATTTCAACACAGTACTAGTCTCCTTAGCAATAATAACCAAGTAAAAACATACTGATATGAAATTAATGATCTCTGAACCATATTATCTCTGTTTTGGAAAATCATATGAAAAGGTCAGCATCATCAACTTGACTTTAGGTCAAGTATATTCAAGTGAATTTATGGAGACAAATAGGAAATTTTTAATGTACCACAGAAAGTCTCAGTTCAATCTAAAATATTTTTCCTGATACAACTATCTAATAAAGACATTTATGGCTGAGATACACAAATGTATGTATTTTCAAACAATTTACAACATGTGAAGTGATGTCCAATAAATGAATCAGTGCTCTATTGGGGAGGAGAAATCATGAGACAGCATAACACTTCCATTTGTACTTGCCATTTTATTATGCCTAACCTGCAAATCTTTAGGCAGATGAAACTTCTGACAGATGGGCTTCAGAAAACAAACTTGATACAAAGGAATTTTTAAAGTTCACTACAGAGGAATTAAAATAAAGGTCTTGAAAATCAACTTGTCTTTTCTTTTTAAGTTCCTTATAAAACAGTAAGCTTTCAAAAAACTCTCTCCATGAACATAAAGTCCACCATGCTTTTGGTCCAGAATACAATTGCTGACAGAAAGATGGATGCAGCTGAGTCTATGAACGTGTGTACTTGCCCCAAATATGCAACATAAACACTGAAGCAATGAACAGAAGACTCATTACCAATACTGGAACAGGACCACTGAAAATAAAAAAGAAAAAAGTAATAATTACCTTTAGCTGTATAAAAAAAATTATCGTCACCCCGAAAAAAAAAACATTTAAAAACTAGGAATATTATGTACATCTCGGAGGAAAACATCAAACTACCAAAACTCTAAGTAAATGCAATTTTTAAAAATTACCAAACTAAAATGCTATTTTTGAGGTGATAACAATACAGTTCTAATTTATAAAATCAGAAGAAAATTTATTCAATAAATACTTCATACCCAAATCACATTTTAGATTCAGAAACCGCATCACCATTACATTTTCTTAACAGGCAAACCAACTGTTAGTATAAAATATGACTGAAGCATATAGCTAATAAAATGCTAAAAAATCATTTTGTAAGCAGTTACTTTAGATGCACAAATTTTTTTATTTCACCAAACATGGATATACATAGCATTTTTAACAAAAAAATAAAGAATATGTATCATCAAGGCAGAATAATTAACAGGGGTAAAGTACACAGGATAACAATGAACTAAAAGGGAAATTTACAACATAGGATGTGAGGTTCAAATACATTATAACCAACATATTAGGAAGAGGTGAAATATGATGATCTAAGGAATCTAAGGAGACGGCAAGTTGGAGGAGTCACATGACACACTGCCTAATGAGGTACATTTTATTACACACACACACACACACACACACACACACACACACGGTTACAGTTCTATCACCCTGTTTGTTAAAATGTTAAATTATTTAACCCTAACCCACCCTCGTAGACACAAATTATTACCTTTCCATACAGGTATAACCAGACCTCAAAAAATAAAATCTTAGAAGCTAAAACTGGATTATTCAGAACATCTCACAATTCAAACTCAAGAGACTACATGTGAATTCTTACATCTGAATTAGTTCAATTCTAAATTTGTTCTTCAAATCTTTGCCATTTACCAAGGCTGTTTACCAAGGATGTTAGATTAAAGAGCTACAAGTGACCACTGGGGTCATCTATTTTAGCTTTCTCATTTTCTAGATGAGGAAACTTAAGGCCCAGAAAATTGAAGTGACTTGTGTAAGGATAGGTACCAAGTGGTAGAGCTGTTATTCAAACTCAAGTTCTCTGATTACAAATCTAGCATTCTTTTCACTGTTCCATGCAAAAACACTGAATCTCTAAGCTGGACAGGCCTTTAGAAGTTGTCTAGTCCCTCTGTTATTCACAAGCATGAATCTTGTCTACAACACTAACACATAGAAATTCAGACTCTGCTTGAAGACCTTTAATGATTGGGACTCATTTCCTCTCAAAGCAACCCACTGCACTTTTGGACAGCTCCGACTATTATGCTGTTTTTCTTTATACTGAGCCAAAATCTGGTTTCCTAAAGTTTCTACCCATTTGGTCTCTAGAACTGGAGACCAAACAAACAAAATGGCTAAATTCTCTTCTACTGCCAATATTTGAAGGCAGTAATGTTTTACTGGTCCCTCCCCAAGTTGCCTCTTCTCTTGCCTAAATATTTCCAGTTCCCTCAACCATTCATGAACTCCAATTCCTTAACTACCCTAGTCACCCTACTCTGTAAAAGCACACATTAACTTATGAGCATTTTCCCTAAAATATGGCACTTCAACTGGACCTAAGACTGTAGACGTGATCTGACTAGAACAGAATGCAGTTGGACAATTACTTCCCTTCTTCTGATACTATGTTCCCTGTTAATACAGCTTAAAGATAATATCAGATTTTTATGGCTGCTCCAATTGGATTGCCTCAAAATGAGCCTGCAGATCACACATTTTTTCACAGAACTTCTTTTCTAACACCTCTTATATTTATGTGGTTGATGTTTTGAACCCAAGTACAAGACTATGTATTTTCTGCTAAGTTTCATCTTATTACATCTGGCCCATCAAGTTCTTTTCTATCAACTAGCATATTGACTTCCCCCTCACTGCCCTGCATTGTGTTCCCTGTATATCTGCTAAGTTAGCCATCTATGTGTTCTTCCAAATTACTAATAAAAGCACTGAACAAAACAAAGGCAGTAACTGACTGCTATGTCTCAACCACTAACTATCAACCATCCTGGAGGGTAAGCCAGAGACCACTGATTCCTAAACCTGTCATCTCTTGTAATAACCTAATCAGGACTCCCTGATACAAAGACATTTTGGTTTCACACTGGGAATGAGAACAGAACTTACCAACTTCATTCTGCAGATACAGCATGAATGTCAGCAAACGGTCTAATTTACAAGGTAGTCAAGTTACTAATGTGCAACTAAGCTCCCTCATTTTCTTATTATTCTCAATGAATCTACTTTTTTTAATCTAAATTTACTTCCTATATATGGAAGAAAAGCATAAGCAGTGGAATTCTAGCATCAAGATTACTGGAGAAATTTCAAACTCTGACATTAAATACTGTACTTTTACTTTAAAATTGGAAACATGCTCACATCTACCTATAACTGTTATAAGCCCTCTCCTACCTCCCCACCCCCATCAATTACCTAATTAATGACTTACCACTTCTATTTCTCAATCAAATACAGTTTTTGGCAATTGAACAAGTGAAAAGAAACTAAAAATTTGAAAAAGTATTCCTCCAATTTTCTTCTATCCCATAAATTACCTCAAAATAGTTAGACATGCTTCTATTCAATACATAAGTTCAATAAACCTTTATTAAGTGCCTACTGTATGGAAAGCACTGTGCTAGGCAAAGGAAGACATAAAAAGTTTAAATAAGGCAGTCCTTGTCCTCAAAGAGCTTTAGAATCTACTAGAGAGATTAGTAAGCAGCACAGATGGCTATTACATGACTGTAATGGACATTAGTACAAGTAAGGCCATTAGGAAATTATAAAACAAAATGCTATGTGAAAGAAAGTTGTCACTAACCAGGAAATGCTTCCGAGAAGAAATGACATTTGAGTTTGGCTTTAAAGAATGCATAGGTCAGGGCAGCTAGGTGGCACAGTGGATAAAACTCCAGATAACAGTGGCTAGAGTCAAGAGGACCTGAGTTCAAATCCTGCCTCAGACATTTGACATTTACCAGCTGTGTGACCCTGGGAAAGTCACTTAACCACGACTGCCTCACCAAAAAAAGCAAAAAAATTAAAAATTAAAAAATAAAGAAAAATTTTAAAAATAAAATAAAGAATATACAGGAAAATTCAACCTAAGTAGGCATAGGAAACTGAGCAATCACTAAGGTCAAGAATTGATCCCTAGTCATTCTAGGGTCTGTTTCATTACCTTATATGATCAGAGTAAAATTGGTCCACTTGACATAAACTATATATAAACTTATATATTTGCCATACTATCAAGCAGAAGGCTATCAAAAGCAATAAGCACTAAACATAATGGAATTTAGTTTATATTCACTATTTTTATGTTTCTTTGACTTACACTTTGAGCCCAGGGGAATCTTCAGTGTAGAACCTCCACATCCCCCCTGTGCCTGCTGAAGTAGTACGGCCTGCACTCCTTGTCCCACAGCTAGCATTTTTCCTACCAAAAAAAAAAACCCCAAAATTTAATTATATTTAATCTCCCCAAAAAACTTGCAACATTTAAGTAATATACTGAAGTTCCATTTTATTTTTAAAAAATCAATTCAAACAATAATGAATTAGGGCAGTTACATCATAAACATGAAAACATTTCCATCAAATAAATTTGCACATTCACAATTAAAGTAACCCTAATTCTAAAGAAGGAAAGCCTAAGCTGCAATCCTTAAAGCTAACCAAATTTAATTCTAAAGCTGAACAAGGAAAAGAATTTATTCTTGAGGTCTAATTCTCACTGAACTCCTTATGTGTATGTTGGGAGTAGGCTAAGCCAAGTTCATTCATTCATTCTTTGTTCCTTCTTTCTGCCCCTCCTCTGCTTTTCTTTCTTCCTTTCTTCTCTTCCTTCCCCAAGTCCGTCCATCCATCCACCCATCCATTCATTTACCCATTCACAGAAGGTCCCAAAGTGGTCTTGAAGGAAACTAGAGATTCTAGGAACTTAAAAGTAAATAGGGAATGCATTCCAGCTATATGACAGTCAGTGCAAAAGAGCAGGAATGATACCACGTATGAGGAACAGTAAGAAGACTGAATTGTAAGGTATGTAGAGGGGAGTAATATGTAATAGGGCTGAAAAGGCAGTTTGAGACAAGGTTGTAAAGGGCTTTAAACATCAAAAAGAATTTATATTTGATCCTTGAGGTAACAGTGAGTCAGTGGAGTTTACTAAGAAGAGAAATGATATGGTCAAACTTCATTTTAGGAAAATCACTTTGCTTCAAACTGAACAGATTGGCAAAGATGACCAAAAACATGGTAAATGAGCAATGTTGGAGGGGTAAAGAAAAAACAGGAACAGGAAGGTGGAGCCAAAATAGCAGAGAAAAGGCAGCAATTCACATTAAGTTCTCCCCAAAACTCCTCTGGACACCTTTAAATAATGCCATAAAACAATTTCTGGAGCATCAGAACCCACAAAAAGATGGGGTGAAATAACTTCCCAGCCAAAGACAACTTAGAAGGTTGGCAAGAAAGGCCTGTTGCACCTGGGTGAGAGTGGAGCACAGTCCAGCACAGACCAGGCCCAAGCAAACCAGGAGCAAGCCTTGGGAGCCACTAAATCAGCAGTGACAGCTGCGGCATCTGGAGCTCTCAGACCACAGATGGTAAGGGGGAGTCAAACAACTCATCAAGAGATTACAGGAATCTCTTTGCTGGTACTGAGAGGAGGACTCTGTTGCTTTGCTTATACTCAGATCTGGGCTGCAGTCCTGGATGGCAGTCCCAGGGCCAGGAGGATAACTAGTATGCTAGAGCTTGCAGTCACAGTGAAGCAGTGGAACAGGGACCTCGCTCACAGTTTCAGGGGCAGAAGGGTGCTTGTGGTCACTCACAGAGTACAGTACCGGCCAGGAGAGTGGTAAACGCACCTCTCCTTAGATCATACCACCTTGGAAGAACTGAAAACTTACAGGTCCCTAGAATTATCTCTGGAAACAGCTGCACAAAACCCCTGAAGCTTGGGACCAGTGCACCCTGCACCCTGGAAGCAGAGCCCCACTTTAACAAAGAGTTAAAAGTCAAGAAACAGACTGGGAAAATGAGTGAACCACAGGAAAAAAAAAATTCTGACCACAGAAAATTACTATGGTGACAAGGAAGATCAAAATATACACTCAGAAGAAGATAATTAAGACAATGCTCCTACATCCAAAGCCTCTAAGAAAAATATGAATTGGTCTCATGGAAGAGCTCAAAAAGGATTCTGAAAATCAAGTAAGAGAGGCACAAGAAAAATTAGAAAAAGAAATGAGAGTGATGCAAGAAAATCATAAAAAACAAGTCAACAGCTCGGTAAAAGAGACAAAAAAAATACTGAAGAAAATAATATCTTGAAAAATAAAATAGACCAAATGGCAAAAGAGGCACAAAAATTTACTGAAGAAAGATACTCCTTAAAAAGTAGGATTAACCAAATGGTAAAGGAGGTACAAAAGCTCACTGAAGAAAATAATTCCTCAAAAATTAGAATTGAGCAAATATAAGTTAATGACTTCATGAGAAATCAAGAAACAATAAAACAAAACTAAAAGAATGAAAAAATAGAAGACTGTGAAATATCTCATTGGAAAAACAACTGACCTGCAAAATAGATCCACGAGGGATAATTTAAAACTTATTGGACTACCTGAAAGCCATGATCGAAAGAAGAGCCTAGACATCATCTTTCAAGAAATTATCAAGGAAAACTGTCCCAACATTCTAGAACCAGAGGGTAAAACAGAAATGGAAAGAATCCACCAATCACTTCCAGAAACATATCCCCAAATGAAAACTCCCAGGAATATTACAGCCAAATTCCAGAGCTCCCAGGTCAAGGAGAAAATACCGCAGGCAGCCAAAAAGAAACAATTCAAGTATCATTCAGCCACAGTCAGGATAACACAAGATCTAGCAGCTTCTACATTAAAGGTTCGGAGGGCTTAGAATATGATATTCCAGAGGGCAAAGGAGCTAGGATTATAACCAAGAATCACCTACCCAGCAAAACTGAGTAAAATCCTTCAGGGTAAAAAAACAGATATTCAATGAAATAGGGACCTTTCAAGCATTCTTGATGAGAAGACCAGAGCTGAATAAAAAATCTGACTTTCAAAAACAAGACTCAAGAGAAGCATAAAAAGGTAAACAGGGATGGGAAATCATAAGAGACTATTGTGATCTAAGAAATGAGCAGGATGCTCTCAGAAAAACCTGGAAAGACTTACATGAGCTGAATTGATGCAAAGTGAAATGTACTATATACAAAGTAACATCAATATTGTAAGATGATCAGCTGTGAATGACTAAGCTACTCTCAGAAATACAATGATCCAAGACAACTCTTTAAGACTTATAATGAAAAATGTCATCCAACCCCAGAGAAAGAACTAATGGTGTCTGAATACAGATTGAACCATACTTTTTTTACTTTCTTTATTTTTCTTGAGGGTATTTTTTTGGTCTGTGTTTTCTTTCACAACATTACTAATATAGAAATGTTTTGCATGACTATATATGTTTAACCTATATCAAATTGCTTGCCTTTTCAATGACTAGGGTAGAGAGGAAGGAAGGGTGAGAATTTGAAACTCAATTTTTTTTGGTGGGGCAACTGGGGTTAAGTGACTTGCCCAGGGTCACACAGCTAGTAAGTGTCAAGTGTTTGGTGTGATACTGGATTTGAACTCAGGTCCTCCTGACTTCAGGGCCAGTGCTCTATCCCCTGCCCCACCTAGCTGCCCCTAAACTCAAAATTTTAAAAATGAATGTTAAAAACTTTCTACATGTAATCAGAGAAAAATAATATAGTAAATAAAAAAAGAAAGAAAAGAAATACAGGAACACTAATGCACTATTGATGGAGTGTGAACTGGTCTAGCCATTCTGGAAAACAATGTGGAATGATATATGTTCAAGGCACCAAATTATACATACCCAGTAATACAAAATATGAGGCATATACTTCAAAGGGTCAAAGAAAGAGGAAAAGGATCCACATATGCAAAAATATTTATAGACACTTTTTTTGTAGCAGAAAAAAAACTGGAAACTAAGGGAGATTCCCATGATTCTTGAGAATGGCTGAACAAATTATGTTATATGAATGTAACAGAATACTATTCTGAGGGCATGAGGAAGGAAGAGTTTCAGGGAAGCCTGGGAAGACTTGTATGAACTGATGCAGAATGAAGAGAACAGAACCATAACAATTTATATCACAACACTGTAAAGACAATTTGGAAAGACTTAAGAACTCTGATCAACACAAGGACCAACCATTATTCCAGAAGACTGATGACGAACCATGTTACCCACCTCTTCAAAGAAGTGAAAGACTCAAGATGTAGAATGTGCTATCATTTTTGGACATGGCCAATGTAATAATCTGTTTTGGGAGGTCAATTAGAATGAATGCAGTAGTCTAGGTGACAGGTGATTAAGGTCTGGACTAGAATGGTGGCTCTGTGGTTAGGGAAAAGGGGACAAAGTGAGAAATATTGTGAAGGTCAAGTCCTCAACTATTGTTACAACTCACATTGCTCTACCTTCTGCTGATTACTATGACTACTTGTAGCTTCTAACACAAAATTCAAATAATTTTATAATTATTTTTACATATGTAGGCCTTGTAGACTATATTCAGCAAGACTAACTTCTAGAGGAAAGGACTACATTACACAAAATCTAACCATAAATAAGAAATCTGGATGAAAAAGTCACAAAAAAAACCACTAGTCATTACTTTGGATTCACACCTCTGTATGTTCCACAACACCTAAAACAGTGATAGGTCCGTAACAGGTATTTGATTTAAAAAAAAAAAATTTTTTTTTAAAAGCCAGAACTTAATGTTCTTAAATGACAACACTTTTGAAAACTCAATGGTGATCTTCAGAAATGAGGCATGATTGACTATGCACCCTTCCCTCCATTACTTCTTTAGATAAGATATTATCAAATCAAGTTTCTGCGCCAGGCACTCTGATAAGTGCAGATGATACAAAAAAAGGCTAAAAAAGTCTGTTCTTTGAAAAAGCCTACAATCTAGTGAAAGAGACAACAAGCAAACAGAACAAATCATACCTAAGACTATCACCATGCCCAAACTGTGCCCTTCCCTAACTTCAAATTCTGAAATTCCCTTCTGATGATAATCTGCCATGTCATCTCTCCTCTTGCCTCTCTCATTTCAATCCTATTTTGTCTTCCCTGCAACCTCCATTCCCCCTATACCTCCTTTTTGTCCCAAGCCATCAGCCTCATCTTCCTCCTTTCGCAATTTTGTTCCTCTAGTTAAACCAGTTCAATTATTCACTGTCCTCCATTCCTGAATTCTTCTCCCACATCTTCTTCCATTTTTCCTTCCCTGACTAACCTCAACCCAGCATCATCTCTACCACCTGTCTTCTTCACTAACTGAAAAGCACAAAATAACACTGACTGAATCTGTTAATATTAATTCTATCTTATCTGAACTGGGCCCTCAACGCTATGTAACAATACTTTTATTCTTCCCAGATTAACTATCTTGTCCCAGCAACAGCTGTTCCAAACTCTCTCCTCTTTCATCACGTCTTAATACCTCCCCCTCTCCCAACTCTATTCAGGAGATGACCTCACTTCCTACTTTACTAAGAAAATCAACACCATCCATTGTAAGCATTACCTCAAAACCTTCACCTATCCTTGGTACCCATTCTTTTTGTCTTCACCAACCATTCTATTTGTGTCCTCAATCACATCCCCTCTTTTCTGGGAGTGATGCCTTTTAATAATTCCCATCTCCCTCAGGTCTCCCTACCTTTATAAACAAACAAAAAAACCCCCCAAACCTTTGTTTGGTACTGATATTCTGCAGCTTTTTTCCTTTCCACTGCCAAATACATAGGAAAGTTTTCTACATTATCTACTTCCATTTCCTTACCATGTCTTTACTTCTCAACTCTTTACAATATGGCTTCTGACCTCACCACACTAAGGAAACTGCTGAATCCATGGTTACCAACAATCTTTTAACTTCTAAATTCAAAGACCTTTGCTTAACACTCATCTTTCTTGACTTCTCTACAGCTTTTGATAGTCAACTGTAACTCCTCTCCTCCTGGGTAATCTCACCTTCCCAATACAGGTACCACACAGCTACCAAAGAAATTCTTTCTAAAACATAAGTCTGATCATGTCACTCCTCAGCTAATGAGCTTTGAATTGCCACTAGAATGATAAACAACAAATTCCTAAGTCTGATATTTAAGGACTTCCAGATACTGGCTCCAACTTACCCTTCTGGTCTTATTTCATGACTCTCCTTCATGCAAATTATTACATTATAGCAGAACAGGCCTAGTATCCCTAACTTGACATTCCATCTCCCACCTTATAAGCCTTACTTAGTAAAAGCCCTCCCCACACACTTGAAATGTCCTCTCTCCTCATTTCTGTCTCCATCAGCTAACCACCCTCCTCTGTGAAGCCTTCCTTACTATTCCTCATCCCTGATTAGTGTTCTCTCCTTCTTCAAATTACCTTGTATTAATTAATCTTTATATATATTGTTTTGACTCACTCCCAGCTCCAAGTAAAACATAAGCTCCTTGAGGGTGGAAACGGTTTCCTTTTTATCTGTTTTCCTTCATGTCTAATACAGTATCTGGAGAATAATGAGTACTTATTAAATATCTGAAGAACTCAACACGGCCAAATCAAGTCTCCTCTGCTTCCTTTCTCCATGGAAGCACAATTCTAGTGCCTTTACTCCACTGATTATTTCCAATAGACCCTTTGTATTGTCTGTACGTAGTTTGCTTCTTGTCTTCTCGTTAGACTACAAGCTCTTGGAGAGCAGGGACTGGTTGTGTCTCTGTCGATTAGCAAACACACAGTGCCTGGTATATACTAGGAGCTAAATAAATGTTTATTGACTGACAAGCTCATGCCACCTCTTCTTTCATTCACACACCCAAATTCCTTACTTCAACAATCGTATATCCAGCACCAATTATGTGCAACAATACGTGGTGAGCGCTTAATATGTACAGCTTAGTACAGTGTCTGCCCCACAGTAAGTGCCTAATACTGACTAAACTATAGAAGGCATTCGTAGTAGCTAGCACAGTTCGCGGTACATAGCAGAGCTTAATAAAGGCTTTCTCTATAAATCTTCCTACCTTAAGATAATTAGGACATAAGCCTTGACCTCAGCTAACAATTAAACACTGACCCCTGCGAGAGTCTGTTTCAACACCCACAGGCCCAGGCCTGTCTCCCTGCCTCGCTCCTTACCGTTGCCTGACTGTGGATCCCGCGGCCCTGGCGGCCACAGCTTTGCTGGGAGACCGGCCCGAGGCGCCCACGTTGGTACCACTAGGAGTAGGGCCCGGCTGTGGACAGAGATAAAAAGACCATCATGTATCACCTACAGAAGCCCCTGCCCGGCCCTACCGTCCGCCCCCCGATGATTTCTCCCCAGCAGCCTGCCAGGCCCCTGGACTCCCCAAGTGCCGGCGGCGACACCCAGAACAACCAGACCAGGACCCGGGTAGTGAGTTATACCATCACTGCAGTTGAGGAGGCAGAAGACTCGGTTGCAGATGTTCCAGCAGCTGTACCAGTTACCGTGACCAGAAGAGTCTGCCTCCTCTTGGCTCCTCAGTGGGAGGGGGGAAGGGGGGCGGAAGGACAACCGCTTCCTGTGGTGGTTTTCAAATGCCTGATTTAAAATAAGGAGAATCTCAAAAGATAGCCCAAAAAGCGCGACGTTCTGGTATCTCTTCTCCACACTGAACAAGAAAAGTATATGAAAATTAGTTGTACCCCCTGAAAAAAGCAGACACATAAAAAACCAAAAAAAAAGGATTTCCGGCAATGTGAAAGACACCATCAACTTTTAGCTAACGTGTCCAAATTCACTCAAGCCCCAAGAGGGCGGAGCCATTCGTACGGAGAAGATGGGTCAGAGAAATCGGTCTAATGCCACGCCAGCATCAGCTAGGCTGCGGCGGGGAGGGGTTGGGGTGGGGAAGACAGGGCGGGGCTTGTCCTCGAGCCTGCGTCACAGCGGCCACCGGGACCTCGACTCCTCTTGGGTTTCTCCGAGGGGACTGCGCAAGCGCGAACCCACGGGGATTCCAGGGTCCAGGCGGCGATGCAGACTCGGGGGTCGGAGGGCCGCGCGGGCGGCCCGTCGGTGCTGTTCGTGCACCCGGACTTCGGCGTGGGCGGCGCGGAGCGGCTGGTGCTGGACGCGGCGTTGGCCCTGCAGTCTCGCGGCTGCCGCGTCCAGGTGTGGACGGCTCATTATGACCCGGGCCACTGCTTCTCGGAGAGCCGCGAGCTGCAGGTGCACTGCGCCGGCGACTGGCTGCCCCGCAGCCTAGGCTGGGGCGGGCGCGGCGCCGCGCTGTGCGCCTACGTGCGAATGGTCTACCTGGCGCTCTACATCCTGCTGCTGAGCGGCGAGGAGATGGACATGATCGTGTGTGACCAGGTGAGGGGGCCGTCGACTCCCGTCACCAGAGGCGGCAGGGACCTCAGGGACGGCCCAGCCCAGCTCATTTTGCGGAAACTGAGTCCAAGAGAAGGGAAGGGAATCGTTCAAAGTCGTCAAGTCATTTATTGAGCATTTGCTATGGCTTTTTAAAGTCCCACCCAAAAGCCCACCCTTCTTGATTCCCCTTGGTGGTGCAGTGGATAGACGCTGAGCCTGAAGGCAGCAAGACCTGAGTTCTAATTCGCCTTCAGACGCTTGATAGCTATGCGACTCTGTGCTCTGTTTGCCTCACTCAATCCGCCCCCAGTAAAGTGAGGCTAATAATAACACTTTCCTCCCAGAGTTATGGTGGGGATCATTCATTCAGTAAACATTTCTGTGAAGCACTGGGGATCAAATAAGTTAATACTTATAAAGCAATTACCATGGTGACTTGGACGTAGAGGGAACTTAATAAATGCTTCTTTACTTCCATAATTAGAGTGCCTTCTCACTTTTAATTATCTTTGCTTTATCCTTTGTGTGACCCTTTTGTAAGTGGTTGTTTGCATGTTGTCTCCCCATTAAACTACGAGCTCCTTTTGAGCAGGGACTAATCCATATTCCTAGCCTGGCACCTCCTCCAAATCCTGCCCCTCAGTGCCTTCTTTCTGAGATTACTTTCCATCTTGGTATGTATCGTATATGTACGTAGTTGTTTGCATGTTGCTTCTCCCATTGGAATGCGAGTGAACTCTTTGAGGGCAGGGACTCTTTCTAGCACAAGACTGTGCCTGACACAAAATAAACATCCAATAAATGTTGACTCTTAATGTTTATTGGCTGACTGCTGTGCATAGCGCCACGCACACTGGTAGGAAGTATTGGAGACTGAACTTGAACCCAGAGTTCTATTTCTTTTGCTATGCAAGTGCATTATGTAGATGTCATGGATGAGGAAGGAGCCTCAGTGAGATTAGGTGGGTCAGAGTGGGCTCCGTGTTTTCAAGAGCAACTGGACTAGAAATGAAACCAGAATTCCAGGCCCCAACTTTGCCATTTAATTTAATCACTATGGATGACTTTGAGCAAGTCATTTCCCTTCTCTTCAGTTTCCTCAACTGTAAAAGGAGGAAACTGAGCTAGATGGTTTCTAAGACTCCTAGCTCTGATTCTATGATTTTCCCCACGATAAGTAACTGATGAAGTTGGAAACAGTGGACGTTAAATATTTTCATTACAATTAAAGCTGATTGGTGCTCATTCTCTCTTTGAAGTGTGCCTTGCGTATGCTATTATTACCATGCTTTTGCATTCAACCTGAATCATGTAATTCAGCCCCTTCTATTTTCACATGAAGAAATTGAAGCCAAAGGGGGTTAATGATACTCTTGTTAAGAGAACTTCAGTATGCCTTTTTTTTAAAAAGGAGGGCTAAATTACCTAAAGTAGAAACAGCTAGAAGACATCAAAAGTGTCCTTCCACTCCCTGCTACAGTTTTCATAGTAAAATAGAAGTTATTTGGGAAAATAAATGAATTGTGAGTAATAATGGCATGCTGCCTTCCTCAAGGATTTTTAACTGAACAAGAATCCTTCTATAAGGTTTTGCTTTAAGACTTCCAGTGTCAGGTAGTGTATTGTCCACTGGGGCAGCTCATTCTGTACTTGGACAACTGTCGTGGTTCTAGATATTCTTCCTTTGTATTGAGCTGAATGTTTTGCACCTGTTATATGCCTGATTGTTCCCTCTGGGGTCAAGCAGACCTTCTACATGTTACAAAGGAATACCAAATTTTCATTCAGAGGTTTCAGGTTTGAATCTCTAGAGTATTGTGTGAGGTTGGACAAGGCATAACCTTGATCGGACTCAGTTTCCTCATCTGAAAAGTGAGATTGGACTAGATGGTCTCCTCCTTTCAGTTTAGAATGATACCTTCTCAGTACTATCCAAATATTTGAAGATAGGTCTGGTTCCCTTGTTTCCTCTAAACTGAACATACAAGGTTCCTTCAGTGGATCTTTTTATGATGGAAGGAACTGGGATTTTAACCTCTCTAGGCTTTTTTTTTAATCTCTAAAATAATGAGATTGAACTAAGTGATATCTATGATTTTTTGTCTTTAAAATACTGTGATTTTTTCTAGAAAGGGTTCCTGTAAAAAGTGAAGTTGTTTAAAATATAAAATGAAAGCAGTACAACAGGCCCAGAGGTCACAAATAGTCAGACAATAAGCATTTATTAAGCATCTGCTATATGCCAAGCACTGTGCTAAGGGTTACATAGCACTTATCATGTGATTTTATGCAGTATCAACATATATTCTCACATTCTCTTCCTCCTTTCCAAACATTTTTGTTTGGTTTTCCCAGAGCTTCTGTATCAGAGGAGTTGAGTGTATTTACTGCAGATGTAAGCTCATCCTTCTTTTGTCTAGTCATGGGAAGCAGCATTGTTTAAGGGTGAGTAAGATCAATGCGATTATGCAGAGGCTTAAGGATTTTTTTTAATAGAAAAATTAAACCCAACATTAGTTAGATGTTTGCAGTACATTTCTGGTGCTACCGGAAATTAGGTAAGGAATACTAAGATATTCTTTAGGTTTGTTTTTGTGAATTTGGGGGTAAGTTTAGAAATCAGTCAACAAATCTTGGTGCCATTCTTTACAACCTTGTATTCTATCCCAGCTTGCCTCTGCTATTTACTACCAGTGTGACCCTGGACAATTCACTTATCTTCTCTTTACTTTCCTACTCTATAAAAACAAGAAACTTGGACAAGATGACTTTTAAGGTCCAGTCTACCTCCAAATTTATGATTCTGTATATTCAGTTTTTCTGTAGGAAGGAAAATCTAGAGGAAGCTCCATCGAATTTGTGGTTTTAAGTATACACAACACAAAGTAAAGCAGTTTTCTTGAAATAATGAATAAAAGTCCTTTTCTTAAACAGTTTTCATTTCTGCTTTCATTAGGTATCTGCTTGTATCCCAGTGTTTAGACTGGCCAGACATCGGAAGAAGATACTGTTTTACTGTCATTTTCCTGATTTACTTCTCACTCAGAGAAATTCTTTTCTTAAACGACTCTACCGAGCCCCCATTGATTGGGTGGAAGAGTATACTACTGGCATGGCAGACTGCATTGTAGTCAATAGCTCCTTCACTGCAAATGTTTTTAAGAACACCTTCAAGTCCCTAGCGCACATAAACCCGGATGTCCTCTACCCTTCTTTGAATGTCAGCAGTTTTGACAATGTGGTGCCTTCAGATCTCGATAACTTAATTCCCAAAGGAAAGAAGTTTGTTTTTCTTTCAATCAACAGATATGAAAGGAAGAAAAATCTAACTCTAGCTTTAGAAGCATTACTTGAGCTACGTGGGAGATTAGATCTTCAAGACTGGGAAAAAATTCATCTAATAATGGCTGGCGGTTACGATGAACGAGTCCTGGAAAATGTAGAGTATTATAAAGAACTGGAGAATACAGCCGACCAGTTTGACCTTAGCCACCATGTTACATTCCTAAGGTCTTTTTCAGACACACAAAAGATCTCTCTTCTCCATAATTGTACTTGTGTGCTTTATACACCGAGCAATGAGCATTTTGGCATCGTTCCTGTGGAAGCCATGTACATGCAGTGTCCTGTCATTGCCGTGAATTCAGGTGGACCTCTGGAATCTGTTGTAGATAACATAACAGGGTTTTTATGTGAACCTGATCCAACACAGTTTTCTAAAGCAATGGAAAAGTTTATCAGAGATCCTTCCTTAAAAGCTACAATGGGGTCGGCAGGAAGAGCCAGAGTGAAGGAAAAATTTTCATTAGAAGCTTTCACAGATCAGCTATACCAGTACATAAGTAAATTGACAGAATAATCATGTAGTTTTAAAACCTTTTCTAGAGGCAGCTAGGTGGTACGGAGGTTTTTAAGGGCTGGATTTGAAGTCAGCCAGACCTGAGTTTGAATCCTGCCTTATCCAGTTACTAGTTGTGTGGTCCTGAACAACTCATGTAACCTCTCTTACCCTCAATTTCCTCATTTGTAAAATAGGGATAATAATAGCATCTACCTTACAGGGTTCTTGAGGAGAAAAATGAAATAATACATGTAAAGCACTTTGCAAACCTGAAAATACCATATAAATGGTCTTTATTAGATTACAGTTAGATTGACTGAACTAATTGACTCAGTTTCTAGACTCAGTTGTACTTCTAAAAAGAAAAATCACTCCAAAATTTATCTGGTGCAGAGTGGATTCATCATATGTTGAAAATAACAGACTTAGGTCTAATCTTTCTCATCCTGTAAATATTTTTGAAAGTGAGTGAGAACACACATCTGATAAATGGCATAAAGGACATCACACTAAGGGCACGCAGGACTAGAAGAGGAAGTTAGTGGATCATGTGACAAGACTGAAAAGAAGATAGACAACCCAAGTGTTGCACTGGTACTGAAAGAAAAAAAATTTTTTGAAAGAAAAAGAAAATACACCTTGTCATATTATTACTGTCTTTAAGATTTTAAGACATAAAACCTGAAAAAATTCCTAACATTTTAATTATATTCTATCTAGACAAGTATTAGGGTTTGTATGCATTTAAACTACATAGTCATGTCACATGCATATTATGGTTTGACTAGAGAATTTGTAGTTTTAATTATCCTTAACTGCCATTAAACCAGTATGTAAGATTAAATTTTAAGTCACAGAATATCAGCGCTAATAGTATTTCTATACTAAAAATACTTGTTCAGCTTTACATGATCTGCCATACTTGTGGAAAAATGTATGTTTTTTTGGAAAAGATTAATTATGACATTATAAACAATGATATTTTTGTATACTGTTTTTGCTTGCCAAAAGAGGGAAGCAAACACGTGTGAAGAAACAAATAAAATGGTATTTTGGAAGCATTTTTTTTTTAATTTGAGGCTGTATTTTTCAGTATTGCCAGTAGGGGAACCATTTTAGTACCAAAGCTTGAAATCACACAGTTTAAAAATCATAAAGGAGATACTTGCAATATATAGCCTGCAATCTGTTTCACATTTTTTTTAATATCTGTAACAAAACATTAAAAGATGAAAATAAGTATATGATGTTTTCTACAAGTGCAATGAGATAGAAAAGGAAAATTAAGAAGAAAAATTAGTTCTTGGTTAAGAAAAGAAAGTATTAATTCAGCAAACATTTTGTACATACTATGTGCAAAGCACTTTATGGGTATGGGAGGAAATACTTCAGTGGATCCCTGATCTCATCTTTGGTGAGCACTTCAGTCACTAGATTACAACCCAGCCCTAACCACTCATACTGGGAGATTGTTATCTATGAGAATCCACCCATTGTGCTAGAGGCCTTCCTCTAGTTCATTTTCAGTACCAGTGCAACACTTGGGTTGTCTATCTTTTTTTCAGTCTTGTCACATGATCCGCTAACTTCCACTTCTAGTCCTGCGTGCCCTTAGGGTGCTGTCCTTTATGCCATTTATCAGATGTGTGTTCTCACTCATAATATGTTGTAACCTGTTTTCACTTGCTATTGATTATCCTATTACTCTTCTGTGATACTGGTATCACATGATTCACAGCTAGGTAATATCACTGAGAAGAAAAGCAGTGCTAACAAATTGCTCTGCTTTTTTCCAAATGAGATATGTTCTAATAATCTGTTCAGTTCATTTTCCTAGATAGATGTACTGATAAACTAATATAAAGGGGCTGCGTGGTACGGTGATTAGTTCACTAGATTTAGAATCAAGAAAATCTGAGCTCAAATCACTGCTTTGTGATCATCAGTAAGTCTCAGTAATATCTCAGTAAGTCTCTTAACATCTCTGGGCCTCAGTTTTCTCTTCTATAAAATGAGGCGGTTGGACTCTGAGCTTTGAGGTTTTTTCTACCTGTAAATCTGTGACACCAAGTTGCCCATCCATACTCATGTTATAATCTAGGCAATATTCTTTATTCACTTTGTTTTCCCAGTGGAAGTGACTAGGGTGATCTCCTTTGAGTGGACTTTTACGTAGAATTTCTATGGAATAGCATATGATCTTAACACATGATAAACACCTTATTTGAGGAAAGCTGTTAAACAGCTCTTCGAAGATGGAAGACTTGCTGCCAAGATGGTTGCCTGAATGGGAGGCAGATAACCCTACTCCTAATGTAATTACTCAAGCAGAGCCCTGAAGTTCACAGCAAGAATGATGATCAATAAATCCGGTGAGAAAATACAGTAATTTCTTCAACTTCAAGACTGCACAGAAGCCTATGGGTAATGGAAAAGGGGGTTCCTCTAACAATCTGCCAGCATTGGGAGCTAGTACAACCAGAGTTAGAGGTAGGCTCTATGTCTGGAGACATAAGAATAGAGGGTTCTGAGAAGGTCCTAGGATGGTTAGAAACAGCTAACAGACCAACATCTTGAAGTGTTCAAACTAGGATAACCCATGTTCAGGGGATCTGAGGTCTTTAATACTCCGAGATGTCAAAGAGGGCCCTGAAGATCCAGTGCTGAAGACCTCAAAGATCCAAGAAGGTTTAATCTAAGGAGGTGGAGGCCGGTATAAGAATCTAGAAGACCCAAGAGGGGACCAGGCAAGGTTTGACCTTCCTGCCCAAAATCGCAGCCCATTTCTAGCACAGAGATGAAATCAAAACACTGACCAGCATCAACAATTATTGCAAATATTGAGATCTATACTCAAAGGAAGAATTGGATTTTCCATATGGACGACATGAATATCTAGCATCAGCGAAGCAAGAGAATTTTTAAAAAATTTCTGGACAAAAAAATTGGAAAGAATAGCTTAGAAGAGAAAATTATAAAATTTACCTAAGAAAGGACTTCTAAAAAAGTAGAATAGACTCCATGAGGCAAAAAGAAATATTAGAACAAGATCAAAGTATTGAAAAAATACAAAATATTTATCATAAAAAACAACTGACTTAGGTAAGAGGTCAAGGAAAGATCGTTTAAGAATTACTGAACTCTGGAAACAATCATCAAAAAAAAAAAGAAGAAGAAGAAGAAGAATCCTGGCCATAACATTATAAGAAAGAACAACTGAATACTAAACAGTTCAATTAGAACTAGAGGAATAAGTAAAGATAGAAAAATTCCACAGATTGCCTCCTAAAAGGAAGGAGTTAAAGAAATGTCAGTGAAAGTCCATTGTTCCCATACTAAAGAGAAACTACTGCAACTATCCAGAAAGAAACAGTTCAAATACCAAGGACATGTGAGAGTCACATAAAACCTTGACCTTCAATGGAATAGAGAACTTTAAAAAAAAATTTATTAATTTATTTTGATTTATCAATAATCACTTCCATATGCTTTTGAGTTGAAAATTTTTTCTCCCCCTTCCTCCATACCACTCTCCCCAAGACGGCACACAATCTAATATAGGCTACATATTTATATTCCTATTAAACGTATTTTCACATTAGTGGTGTTGTAAGTAAAAATTAAAACCAATAGGAGGAACCATCAGAAAGAAGAAACAAAACTCAACAGAAGAGAAGAAAAATAGCAATTCAACTTTCGTAGTTCTTTAGATGTGGATAGCATTTTCCATCACGAGGCCTCTGGAGATGTCTTAGGTCCTTGTATTGCTGGGAAGGGTTAAGTTTATCAATATTAGTCATCGCACAATGTGGCTGTTATCGTGTACAACGTTCTCTTGGTTCTGCTCATTTCACTCAGCATCAGACCATACAAGTCTTTCCAGTTTTTTCTGAAGTCAGCCTGTTTATCATTTCTTATAGCACAGTAGTATTCCATTATATTCATATACCACAACCCTGCTCAGCCATTCCCCAGTTGATGGGCATCCTCTCAATTTCCAATTCTTTGCCACCACAAAAAGAGCTGCTATGAATATTTTTGTACATGTGGGTCCTTCTCCCATTTGTATGATCTTTTTGGGATATAGCCCTAGAAGTGCTTTTGCTGGGTCAAAGGGTATGCACATTTTTGTAGCCCTTTGGGCATAGTTCCAAATTGTTCTCCAAAATGGTTGAATCATTTCACAATTCCACCAACAATGTATTAGTGTTCCAATTTTCCCACATCTTCTCCAGTGTTTATCACTTTCCTGTTTTATCATGTTGGCCAATCTGATAGGTGTGATGTGGTACCTCAGAGTTGTTTTGATTTGCATTTCTCCAATTAATAATGATTTAGAGCATTTTTTCATATGACTATAGATGGCTTTAATTTCTTCATTTGAGAACTGTTTGTTCATATCCATTGACCATTTATCAATTGGGGAATGGCTTGTATTCTTATAAATTTGACTTAATTCTCTCTATATTTTAGAAATGCCTTTATCAGAGAGACTGGTTGTAAAAATTCTTTCCCAGTGTTCTGGCGTCCTTCTAATTTTGATTGCATTGGTTTTGTTTGTGCAAAAACTTTTCTATTTAATGTAATCAAAAGTATCCATTTTGCTTTTTGTAACGTTCTCTATCTCGTTTGGTCATGAATTCTTCTGTTCTCCATAGATCTGATAGGTAAACTATTCTTTGCTCTCCCAGTTTACTTATAGTGTCAGCCTTTATATCTAAATCATGAACCCATTTTGACTTTATTTTGGTATATATGATGTGAGATTTTGGTCTATGCCATACTCTTTCCAGTTCTCCCAGCAGTTTTTTTCAAAGAGTGGGTTCTTATCCCAGAAGCTGGGGTCTTTGGGTTTATCAAATAATAGATTACTATAGTCGTTGACTACTGTGTCTTGCATATTTAACCTATGGAATAGAGAACTTTCAAGAATTTCAGATAAAAAAAAGACAAGATCTGAACAGGATATTTGAAATATAAACGAGTTCAGAGAAACCTGGAACAGTAAATTTATTTGGGCAATTTGAAGTTGCTGTATGATGATGTAGTACTAACATTGTATCTACTAAGGGAGAAGAAACAAGTATCCCTTTAAAGCAGAGAGTTTTGATCTAGACTCTCTGAACTTATATTTTCTTTTTCTTTTTCTTTTTTTAATTAGTTTATTTTTAGTTTGCAACAATCAATTCCAATACAGTCTGATATAGGCTCTACATCTACATTCCCATTAAACATATTTTCACATTAGTCATGTTGTAAAGAAGAATTAGAACCAATAGGAGAAACCACAAGAAAGAAAAAACAAAACAGAAGGGAAAAAAAAGCAAATAGTATGCTTCAATCTTCGTTCAAACTCTCTAGTTCTTTCCTCTGGATGTGGATAGCATTTTCCATCATGAGACTTTTGGAGATGTCTTAGATCCTTGCATTACTGAGAAGAGCTAAGTCTATCAAAGTCATTGCACAAGATGCCTGTTACTGTGTACGATGTTCTCCTTGTTCTGCTTACTTCATTCAGCATCAGTCCATACAAGTCTTTCCAGGTTTTTCTGAAATCTACCTGCTCATCATTTCTTATAGCACAATAGTATTCCATTACATTCATATGCCACAACTCGTTTAGCCATTCCCCAGTTGATGGGCATTCCCTCAATTTCCAATTCTTTGCCACCACAGAAAGAGCTGCTATAAATATTTTTGTATGTGTCAGTATGTATTTTATTAATGTATTTGAAATATTATTCGGAGAACATGTGCATAGTCTTCACCATAGGCACTCCTAAGCAAAGGAATCCCTGACAGAAAAAAAAAAAGATTTAGAATCCCTTATTGCCTTCAGAAGGTACTGAAAGAGTTAAATAAAAATAGAGATCCTATTGATTCTCTTCTGACAGTTTGAAGAGGATAAAGAGAAGGGAGGAAAAAAGTGTAATAGTGTAGAAAGGAGGAAGAAGGGTAGAATTTGCTATTTCTCACAATGGGAGTGTGAGAGAAAATAATAAGCTGGAAGAAGGGGAGGGAGGAGTGGGCATCCAATGAACCTCTTATTTGAAATGGACAAAGGAGGGTTGAACACAAACACACAAACATTTTGGTATAGAAATACATCAAACTCAACAGAGAAACAAGGGACAGGTAGATACATACATATATGAGTCATCTTCATAGAAATGATAATGAAACCAATGGGAGTTCGTGAGGTCACAAGATAAAAAGGAGAGGCAAAAGGGGCCCTGGACAGAGC